TATATAAAATATTTTTTAAACCCTTCAAGTAGCAGACGTTTATAGATCATTTTCTGTTCTTTCTGGTTTCCAACGTAAACTCTTCTTGTGATAAATACAGAGAAATTGGGAATTGTAATTTTTAAAAATTTAGATTGTTTTGTGCTTTTATTATCAATACTTTTTAATTTAGTCCATATTTTAAAATTAATTTAGTGGACTAAGAGTACATGATGGTAATTTTTTATGGTAAGTTTCTTGAATTGGCAAAAAATTACATCTTTTTGTCATGTAAGACATGATGTTTTGAATATGCATCCATTGTGGAATGGCTTCTTTTAGGTATCTATGCAGTACTTCACATACTATTTTGAGTAGTGAGAATATGAATATAGCCCATTGTTGTTCACTAGACTCACAATGTTTTGCAGTGATAAACTTATATTCATAGCCAACTGAAGTTCAGTATCCTTTCACTATACCCTTTAATCTCACCTTACCCCAATCTCTTATAATAATGGTTGCATGGATACTTCTATACCTCAGCATTCTTAGAGTCCACATATAGTAAGAACATGGAGTGTTTCTTTTAAATTTGATATCATCTTATTCACCTATCTCCACTTCTCTTGTCCGTGCTTTTCAGATTATATCCAGGAAATAGTACCAAGACCAGTGTCATGGAGCTTTTCCCTCTATGCATTCTTCTAGTAGTTTTGCAAGGTTATTTCTGACATTTCAGTCTTTAATCCATTTTAAGAATGATATGAGCTGAAGGTCTACATTTCATTCTTCTACTTGTGTATCTTAGTTTTCCTAAAAGTATTTACTGAAGAGCATATTCTTCCTGTTGTGTGTTCTTAAATACTGTGTCAAAATTAATTGGCTCTAAATGAATCAACTTATTTCTGGGCTTTCTGTTCCAGTCTGTTGGTTTATGTCTCCTTTTTATGCCAACACATACTGTCTTAATTATTATAGCTTTGTAGTGTATTTTATTTATTTAATCAGCTGTAGACTTCTCTCTAGTTTTTTGTGGGCTTTTTTTGTTTTGTTTTGTTTTTTATTCTGTAATTGTTTACTTGAGATTGCTTTGACTGGAGTATTTTGACTGTACAATTTTTAGGATTTTTTTTTTTCAATTTCTATGAGAATCATCATTGAGATTTTGGTAGAGATTTTATTGACACTGTTGGACTCTTTGGGTAGCATGGACAATTTTACAGTATTAGTCTTCTAATTAACAGGCAGGATGTCTTTCCATTTATTTGTGTATTCAGTTTCCTTCATCAATATTTTGTGTGTTTAGTGTATAAGCCTTCTCTGGTTAAATTTGTTAAGTATGTCTTTTTTGTGGCTATTCTATGAATGGGACAGTTTTATTGGTTTTGTTTTGTTGTTTTTTTTTTTTTTGCATACTTTCCTATTAGTATATACAAACACCAGATTTTGGTACTTTTGATTTTGTGTTCTGCAACTTACTGAGCTCTATTATGACATAAAATAATACTGGGTGAAATCTTTTGGATTATCTGTCTATCAAAAGCATGTCAAACCAGACATGGCATGTGACACAAGTATAATCCCAGCACTCAAGGAGCCTGAGGCAGAGGGGTCATTAGTTGAAAGTCAGCTTGTGGCACATAGAGTTTGAGCCAAGGTTCTGCTGAAATAATTTACAAACAGGGACAGTTTATAACTTCCTTTCTAATTTGGATGCCATTTATATCTGCCTCTTGCATATGTTCTGATTAGGACTTCCAGTAATATTTATTGGATCTTTTGGTTTTTTTTTTTTTTTAAACCACATTTATGTTAAGAATGTGCGTGTCATGTAACATTAAATATATTATGAGTTTCAGTAATCTAGATATATTTGTGAGTGTATATTATATAGAGTCATTCACATTAGTGTGTTATAGAGTCAAATAATTTGGGAATTGCTTAATCTATGTAAATCATGAGTGTTTCTTTTTGGGGGCCATCTTTTTGAGATAGGGTCTCCCTGTAGCCCCAGCTGGCCTGGATTCCCTATGGAGACCATGCTGCCCTCAAACTCACAGAGATCTGCCTGCCTCTGCCTCCAGAGTGCTGGGATTAAAGGTGTGCACCACCATGCCCAGCCAAATCATTAATGAAGTTTCTTATATCTTGTAAACAGTTTTATTTTATTTCATAGTAAATTTCTAATTTTTCAATTAGAAATCTCTGTGTGTACGCACATGGGGTAGATGGACTAGATTTAAGTAAACTGACTCCAAGGTTCAATCTAACCTATATTAACAACACGTGTTCTGTAAATAATGTTTTGTTTTACTAGCACATGGCTGTATTAGTTACATTTCAGTTGGTGTGATAAAATACCATAATCAAGACAACTTAGAGAAGGAAGAGTTTATTTTGGCTTACAATGATAAGAGTCCATTATTGCAGGAGGCATGGCAGCAGGAGCAGGAAGCTTAGAAGTCACATCTTCAACACAAAAACACAAAGCAGAGAGAGCAAACTGGAAGTTGGGTGAGGCTATGAACTCTCAAAGCTTTGTCCAGCAAGGCCTCACCTTCTAAAGATTCCATGACCTCCCCAAATAGCACCATCAGCTGGGGAACAGGTGTTCCAGTATTTGAGCGTATGCGTCTGTTTTTCATCCAAACCACCACCAAAGCTTTGCCTATTTCTCTTTTACTGTATGTAGTTGCTGTTATCAATATAGAGTTGAATAATTGTGACTGAGCTTCTGTGTTCAAAAAAGTATTAAATACATGGTCCTTCTTTGAGAAAGTTTGCTGATACTGAACTAGATGGATAGAGATTATTGGGCTTTTTTCCCCTTATGTTGAAAATAAGGTTTATTGTGTACTTTGGTTTTAAAAGGGAATTTTTTAAAGTTAATGAGATGGCTTTTTTTTTTTTTTTATTAATTCAGGCAGCTGAGAAAACATTTCGTGTGGCTCATTCTTTTACAACAGATATTTGCCATGGAAGTAACTCATTTTATTTCTTTTTTGTAGGTTAGACCTTCCGAAGCATTAATGGTCCATCATTGTCCGTGTTCATGTGTTAAAGAATTATGGGTTTTACTTATTCATCTCCTAGACCACAGAAGTAAACTCTCTGTTGCACAAGTAAGTTGAAAAATTGATATATAGTTCATATATTATGACTAGTTAACCTAGAAAATTGTTCTCACACAAAGGGCCCTGTTAGAGTGTTTGATGAGGCTCTCAAAAACTTCCACTCAGCTTCCCTCTGAGACTTCAGAAGCCAGGCCTCCATCGTCTACATTTCTTTCAGCTTTCTCATCTTCAGGCACCCACAGAAAAGCCCATCAAGGTCTAAGCACTCAGTGGCCTTTCCAGCTCTAAACTACAAACATCCACAATTCTTCCAAAAACAACATGGTTCAATCTGTTAAAGCAATACCCCATTATCCTGGTGCCAATTTCTATTGTACTTCGCTTTCTGTTGCTGTGATAAAACACCATGATCAAAAAGCAAATTGAGTTAAGAAAGGGATTATTTCATTTTACACTTGAAGTGACAGTCTTTCATTAAGGGAACTCAGGACAGGAACTGAAACAGAGACCATGGAAGAAACACTGCTTTCTGACTCTACTGGCTTGCTTTCTGTGGCTTGTTCAGCTATCTTTCTTACACAGCCCAGGCTCACCTGCCCAGAGGTGGCAACAGCCCACAATGGCCTGGGCCCTCCTATATCTATCAGTAATCACGAAATGCTTCACAGACTTCACAGGCTGATCTGATAGAGGAACTTCTGTAATTGAGGTTCCCTCTCCCTAGGTGACTCTAATTTATGTCAAGTTGACCAAAACGAAAAAACAAAACAAAAAAACCCCAGCACAGTTATGAACAGCAAAATCTGAGAAACTTGCAATGTAAGAGGTGTTGAAGGGACAGGGTAATTAAATGCATTTCAGGATTACCTCGTTATGGTATGAGAGAAATGTTTAATAAGGTTCGTTGTGTATAATACAGAAGAGAGAAGCACAGATAGAACATAAGGAAGGGTGGTGTCTGGTACACTGCTCCTTATAGTTAGGACAGAGGAGTGAAACAGAAAACAGATAGCTTCGATGGAACAGTGATGCTAGACTGGGAGAACTGAGATATAGGAAAGAATGTAGGAAACAATAAGAAAAATACAGTTTAGTGTGATTAAAGATAAAGTTGGGTGTGATGGAACATGCCTGTGATCCCAGCTGCTCAGGAGACTGAGTCAGGAGGATTGCAAGTTGGAGGCTTAGAGTTTAAGGGTAGCCTGGCAACTTAGTAACACTCTGTCTCATAAAGAAAAAAAAAATTTAAAGCTGTGTTTAAAGGATCTATTTTCAGAACATTGTAGGCTCTAAGACACCTTTAAAATATAAAGTACATCAAGGTTTATGATTAATACTGTCTTTTGTATATATACTTTGTTATAAAAATGTAGGAAAAACTTGAGTCAAGTAAAAGATCATTAGAATAATGTTTTAACTTAACTGAATTATATTACTTCTGTTTCTTCAGTCATTTTGGAACTGGTTGAATAAAATACTTAAACCACTCTTTGAAAAATCAAGTGACCGAGGAAGACCTGCTGTCCCTGTAATGCAGGCCAGGGACCCATTAGGCTTTAGTTGGTGGATTAGTACTCATACAGCATCATTTTACCAGTTTGATCGTCATGGTGTACCAGATGAAATGGTAAGATCTTATTTTTGCTTTTGCTTTAAGTTTTCTTATATTCAGTTACTCTATGTATCTACAAAGACAAATTTAAAGTAAATGAGAAGTAAATAAAAGCAGAAAATCAGATCAAAATCTTATAGGATAATTTTTTTTTCTGTGTATAATGTTTCTGCAAATATGCTCTAGTCCTGAAGAATTATAAAGTTCATGTTTTCATTGTTTGATTAAAGAAAAGCAGTAGTTCATAAAAGACTTGGTTTTTAGTCATGGCTCTGCTTCTAAATAATTGTGTGACTTTGAATAAATTGCTTAAGCTCTTATCATCATTGTCCCTCATCCAAAAATCATGGGTTTGCATTGTTCCAAAGATTCCTTCTAGTTCCAAAATCTGTAAGATTATCAAAGGGAGGGGCTGGAGAGATGGCTCAGCAGTTAAGAACACTGGTTGTTCTTGCAGAAGACCCAGGTTCAAATCCCAGCACCCACATGGCAACTAACAACTGTCCATAACTCCAGTCCCAGGGGATCCGACAGCCTCTTCTGACCTCTGCGGTCATTGCACGACATGGGTGTACTTACCTACATGGAGGCAATACACGCATACACATAAAATAAAAATTAAAAAAAAATAAAGCTTAATTAAAAAAAAAAAGATTATCAAAGGGAAAGGTGTCTCCAGAAATGAATTACTTGATTTTGTGTTTAATGTAGTAAAAATGTTCCTTTTGGGGCTAGGGAGATGGCTCAGCAATTAAAAGCAGAGGACCTGAGTTTGGTTCCCAACACCCACATGAGGCACCTCACAACTGCCTGTTACTATAGTTCCGGGGTAGTTATCATCTTCTGGCCTCTGTGGGCACCTGCATTCATGTATGCAAAGCCACATGCAGACACACACACATATATAAAATTTTTTTAAAACTTTAAAAATATTTCTTTAGCATAACATTTCTTTACATATGCTTTATCCAAAGGTATTTTAATCTATTTAACAACTAACAATTTTGCTTAAAACAGGAAGACAGATTTTATCTAGTATATGAATTTCTAGTTAGAAACATCATTTTTTAGAGTTACTTAAAATGCCCTGTAAAAGAATAGAATTATACCAATACATTAGTTCCATGAAATTCAGACTTCTAAGGCTGAGGCAAGAGGATTGCTACAAATTCAGTGGCAGTCTAGGCTGTAGGGAAGATGCTATCTCAGAATCCACTCCTCAAAATAGACTTCCGGTTTTCAACTCTGTAGATCCTTACTTAGTAATATGATTTGGAGTTTGAGAATTTTTATTTTTTAAATGTTTTGTGGTTTTCATTCTTTGTGAGGTATGAGGAACCACTTCTGAATGTTTATGAAATGTGTTTCTTGATAGAGTTGGCAGGCTTTCCTCTTTTGAGTATTGGACAGATTGATTCCTGAGACATTGACTATGGCTTGAGTGTTAGGACTGACAGCATTACAAAAATAGAAAGGCTTGCAAAAGTCCTCCAAATGGCTCTCCTAATAGTAAAAGTTCTTTAAGGAAACAATGTCTGTGCTGTCAGAAATTCATTAACAACTCAGTATGTAATTTAAGCTTTCTGCCTTTTCTTTTTTCTTTCCTTCCTGCCTTCCTTCCCTTCTTCCTTCCTCCCCTCCGTCCCTCCTTCCCTCCCTTCCTTCCTTTCTTTCTTTCCTTTTTTTTGGGAGACTCATCAGTAGAATGAACTCAGATGAATAGTATGACTTGATTTTGTCCATGAGTGTTTGCATTGCTAATAACCCTCTTATGGCCCACTTATTATTTTTGTGACATTGGCATTCACATCTTCTCTTCCTTTTCAGTCTTACTTTCCCTAAGTACACACTCATTTTAATCCGTGTATATAAACTTGGTAATTTGTTAGACACTTCCGAGTTCCTATTGTGTATTATGATAGGTGATGACAAGAGGTAGACACAAAACAATCGTACTTCCCTTGCTTCAGGAAACGTGCTTTTAGGTTACTAATGCTTGGAACTGCTGTAACAGTATATTAAGGGATACCTTTCAGTGGTGGTTGATACTGACCCCCAGATACTTTCAGTGTGGTGAATAATCTAACCTCATTGCCATTGCTGTGTTGACTTGCACTGGTATAGCCATTGCATTAGAGAAGTCACGCTTTTGTTTCAATCTGAGAACTCCAGAGATTATTGCTTTTATTAACATGGAATTAAGGTAGTAAATGAATTGTCTCTGTTTAAAATTGCTTAAATTGAGCTACTGTTGTTGTTTTTGAGACAGGGTCTCCTTGTAGGACCAGCTGGCCTGGAATGTGATATGTAGACCAGGTTGGCTTGGATCTCATAGAGATCTGCCTGCCTCTACTTTCTCCTGAGTGCTAGAATTAAAGATGTGTGTTACCGTTTCCAGCTTTAAATTGTTGTGTCTTTTAATTTTGTCAACAGTTTCTCTAATTTTCTCTTGCCCAAATACTTAGAATTGGTTTTTAAATAATTCTTTAAATTATGTGAAAGATTTTAAAAAAGAAATGGCCATATTTGTCAAAGGAAGCTTTTCTTTGATTAAGAGCACTGGCTGCTCTTGCAGAGGACCCAGGTTCCATTCCCAAAACCCACATGGGTGCTGACAACCGTCCTAACTGCGGTTCCAGGGGATCCGATCTGACCTCCATGGGCATTGCACAATATGGGTGCACTTGGACATATGCAAGTGATATACCCAAAGACATAAAATAAAAATAACTAATTAATTTTTAAAATTAAAACATATATTTATGTGTACACATGTAAAATAAACCCTGCTTTTAGATGTAAATTCTCAGAATCTAAGATATTTCTGAATTTTGTTAATGGCTTTTAAAAACTCAAGCCTTTCCATTAGGAATACATTTTTATGTAAGAGGTATGAAATGCGAACTATACCTTCAGTACATTTACCACTTCACTATGATTATTTCATTTTAACAGAAATGTTAAAAAGTAGGAGAGAGGGTGATACTTTACAGATGAAATTGAGATACAGTGATCAATGGTCACCTTATTTTAGCACTTAGATAAACTTATGAGTTCTCCAAAGGATTGACTTATAAGCAGGCCTTTGGTAGAATAACCATGTGTTTTAGTTTGCCGTGGTAATCCAGTTTATGCCTGCTGCCCTATCTGATTTTTGACTTTTATTGTCAGTATTATCTCTGGTGGGTAAATTAGATGGTCATTTTTATCTATGAACATAAAGGTATATTGGTTGGTACCTTCAGAGCAATTATATACAGATATTAATTTGGATCTGAAATATATTTAAATAAGAACTTTGCAAATTGCCTTTGCTTTTTTCTTTGTTATAATATAGTAACATAGCCAACCAGCTATACCATAAAAACTGGTTATGCAGAACTGTGCCTTATTCTACTTAATAGCAATCTTACGTGAGAGATAATAGAAATAATAATGGTTCCTTAGATGTCCTTCACCAAAAATATATTTTAGTCTGATGACAAAATGGGATGTTTCAAAATTGTGTGCTAATTTCCTCAAAATTTTATATGTAATCTTTACATTTTAACTGTTTCAGATATTATTTTTTATTTTAAAATTTTCTGTAACTTGGAGATTTACTCTATGCATATTTAAATCACAAAATTAGAAGCTTTACCATTTCATTTCAGTTTAATGCTGTTCTTTCAATGTAAATAGGAGTACATTATCCTCTTAACAATCCCAATCATCTATTTTAAAACCAAATACAGTTTAAAGAGGAAATTTACTTTTGGGCATTGCAGGGGTCAGTTTTAACTGTGCTCTGTCTGCCAAGACATAGGGCAGGCAGTCTGAGGATGCTCCTCTGGAACATCTGAAATAGCAACCAGATTAAGGTATGAAATGTAATCTTAAGATGGGAGTTGTGTAAGGCTCTGTGGTCTACTGGAAGTGGAAAGTGAGTTTGTTTCATATTTTTGGTGGAACTATTACCTACAAAAGCCTGAATGGGCATCTTGCTTTTAGTGGAGACATAAAAATTATAAAACAGCCCCAAGTTGATGACTTTTTAGTTTTTAGAAATATATATTATGTGGTGTATTATTGTATAATAATATGTAGGAAAAAATGCTTTACCTTCTCAAAATTGAAGTTTTCTGGTGGAAGAAAACACATGCCTTTGGGAACTGTTCTCTTACATTGGGTTTCAACATGGTCATGGCTGTTCTTCCTCTGACGCATCGTTTAATTGATTTAGAGTATAACTGGGAAGTGCTCCATATTGTTGGATTTCTTTGGGTAAGAACTATACTACGTCTATAATTCGTTTTGATTCAAGTGTCTTGTAAAACATTTGAAATGGGGACTAGAGAGATGGGTTCATGGCTAAGAACACTGGCTGCTCTCTTAGAGGACACAGATTCGATTGCCAGTACCCACATAGCAGATAGCATCCATTCTGGCATTGTGCAACATGGGTGCAGTTACATTCATGCAGGTAGTACACTCATAAGCTAAAACTAATCAATAAAATATTTTTAAAAACAATTGAAATGTACCCATTAAAATGATCCAGTTGTAAAGCTGAAGCCTGAATTCTGTTGACATTGTTGTGTTCCTGCTAATTTGGCCCTGATGGTGACATTTTCTTAATAAAAAGAATGATATAAACATGACTTACTGAGGGAATAGAGAGTTGGCTCAGGGGTTAAAAGCACTTACTGCTCTTACAGAGGACTTGAGTTTGGTTCCCGTTACCCACATGACTGCTGACAGTCACAAGTTCCAGGGGATCCCACGCCCTCTTCTGGCCTCCATGGGCATTGTGCACACATGGTACACTTACAGACATGCAGGAAAAATACTCATACACTTAAAATAAATCTTTTAAACAAATGAATTGCTGAAATTGATGGAAAGACTTGACAGGAAAAAGAAATTACTAGTAAGTGATGCACAATAGAACAGAGGCTTTGGAGAGAGACTAGCTTGAATTTAAGTACATTCTCAGATTTGAACATATGTCACCTTGAGATTTCATTGTAATTCCT